AACTACTTTCTAAGTACACTATCAGAGCATCTGAGGACTAATTTGTTTCTATGTTCAAAATATTTCAGATGTTATTGTTGGGAAAGCAGCTTCCAGTCTAAAGTTCAAAGTGTTCGTAATGATGAATTATCATGGTTCCGCAAAGCATCACTACTTGGAGCGGTATATCCTTGCACCATATTACAAATTTTCTCTTTGGTTTTTGCTAGATCTGGAGTCTTGATATAGGTATCTATATAAAAACTGGCTTTCTATCCAAGATTTAGTATATGTCAATCACTAGGTGCCCTTTTCACTAGTTTCTTTTTAGTATTAAATAGCCATGAAGATAAATGGAAGTCCATCAATAGTTCTTTTGCTACCACCGTCCATCTTTAACTGATTCTTTGTTCTGTTGATAGAAGCCTGACTTTCTGTCTTGAAAGATGTATCATTTTTACACTACTGTTATTTTCTTACGACTTTTGTAACTAATATAAAAGAACTTACTGGAATTGCACTCTTAAATGCCAATGAGATACTTTACTAATAAAAAGATAGCTAAAATGTAGCTTGAACAGTTTAGATTTTCTTGACAATCTGTTGATGTTTAACAAATCTGAGTGTTCTAAGCTTCTGACATGTAAAGTTGCATTTGCTTATTCTTGATGGGTATTCTATGTGAACATAGGTATCTGGAATGGAACAATACAACTGTTTCTGATTCTTTGCTTGTTCTGCAGTGTAATGGATTTATACTAAACAGCATTCCAGTTGTGGTGACTGTGGTTTCATTTGGGCTGTTCACTATGCTTGGGGGGGATCTGACACCTGCAAGGGCATTCACATCTCTTTCACTCTTTGCTATGCTTCAGTCCCCCCTGTTCATGCTCCCTAATATTATCACACAGGTTGTCTTGTTGCCTCTTTCAAGTATCTGTGATTTTCTCCTTGTAAATCAGTGATACCATAAATGAGAGTTTGGTGTGGAGAGGACTTACTATGTTTATCCTAGCTGTTTTGTTCAGCATTTTTTTTTCTCTATTGAATTTAAGCCAGTTAATTACCAATATACCAGTGTGCGAGAACTGGTTGTTTTCTGACTTTTGATGCTGTTTTAATTTGATAGGTTGTGAATGCAAATGTGTCAGTAAAGCGTCTGGAGGAGCTTTTCTTAGCTGATGAGAGAGTTCTTCTACCAAACCCTCCCCTTGATCCTCGACAACCAGCCATTGAAATAAAAAATGGTTATTTTTCATGGGATTCAAAGGTCTAGCTCCAAAACTTCATCATCTTAAAACTCCTTTGGCAGCAGTTCATTTGTTTATATGCATTATTGGCTAGCATATATGTGTGTGCTATTAAATGTTACTGCTCGTTTACTAGAGGGCTCTTTATTTCTATTGTTCTTTTTCTTTTAATTTCCTTCATGACATAACAAACTGTTCAAGCAGACATCTTCTTCTTCTTCTTCTTCTTCTTCTTCTTCTTTTTCTAAACCTTTAAGAAACTCTTATTTTGTTTGCAGGCAGAGAGGCCCACATTGTCCATTGTCAATTTGGATATACCAGTTGGTAGCCTTGTTGCTATAGTTGGTAGTACAGGAGAAGGAAAGACCTCGCTTATCTCAGCAATGCTTGGGGAGCTCCCCCCTAT